CATCTAGTTGTCCACCTCCCGTATGAGGCATTTCTTCGAGGACCTGTATATTACGATGGATGTATCAGTATGAGTAGGGATGAAAAAATTGAAATGAAAAGCTAAAACCTCGCAGAAGTTGAAGGTTCTATAGTTTCCAGAAGTTTGATGCAAGTTTGACGGAAGAAACATCAATTTTCACATCATACTACTTCGCACCAAAAGTACATACCCGGACACGAGCTCTAAAAAGATATAATGATGGTGGTGTTGTGCCGGCATATTTGGAAAAATATGTTCCAGACATCTTTTCCAAATTGGGTGATTTAGTGGGAAATTGAAAAAGGTTTGGTGGTCGAGTGATGAAGACCTCCATAATGCACACATTTATATTCTTCTCAATTGTGAGCATGTATTGATTCGCTATTTTGCAAGGTAGCTGAGCATATATAAGTAAACTTATAATTACACACACACACACACACATATATATATATATATATATTTGAATTGATTAATTAATAAAAAAATTTACAACTAATTTGTTAATCAAGTCGAAAAACAATCCCGGGTATATCCACAAGTGAGTTAGACAGAAAGAAAGATCAACACTTTATTAAGTGGTTAAGGAAACATGTATTATAATGTTCTCTTTATATTTCAACGTTCACTGTTAGTATGACTAATTTCAACATTCTTTTTATTTTTGCAGATTGATTATGACAATCCAGATTACCCCGCATGGTATCACGAATTAGTTCAAAGTCCAATTGCAAAGGTCACCATATCACCAATATATTTCACACGAGGCTATACTTTTCATACATGAGTATGGTTGACACCGGAAGACAAGTAATTATTGAATATGTGTGAAAGGCAAAACAGATTTCTACGAGATCTTGCAGGAGATTATTGAAGTTGAATTCTCAGGGTTATTGAAGGTGAAATGCGTCCTCTTCAAGTGTGACTGGTTCGACCCCGTCATCAACATTGATGTCAATGGTAGACGAAGACACAACAAATTTGAGCCTTACATATTAGCTTCACAAGCAGACCATGTTTGGTTCGTTCCATACCCTCAGATGACAACCTCAGGGATAAATTGGTTAGCTGTTATCAAAGTTATACCGCGTGGACGCATAATCGCTGGAGAAGAGCCACCTTTACCAAAAGAACACACCAATGGAGTCGAGGAACCTGGACAACAAGTTGATGACATCTTTCTCATCGGTCCGCATAGTCGTGAATACGAAGATTTTCCCTACGATACCATGGACGAATCTGTAGAAGACGAGTTTAATGAAGATGATGATGTTTCTAGTGATGACAAAAATGATAATGATGTATCCGAATGATGATGTAATTTTTAATTTTAAGATTTAATGCATGTGTTTAGTTTGTTTTATTATGAAAAATGAGATTACCAAGCAAGAAGTTGTTGGTTAGGCAAAATTTATTTGTGTATTTAAGGGTTTAAGAAGTAGAGATTGAGGTTTGGGAAGAAGTAGAAATTAAGGTTATAAGTTAAGGACGTTGGGATCTGGGGTTTGAGGTTTTGGTTAGGGATTTAGAAATCTTTCCTCGTAAAATCCTCGTAAAGAGAAAACACGGGCATCGTTAATTCCACATAAGAACTATTTACTCGTAAAATTCACGTAAAGCGAAAACGCGGGACTGGTTAATTCCACGTAAGCGATTTCCTCGTAAAATCCTTTTGGGCTGAAAATGTGGGCCTGGTTAATTCCTTGTTAAGTAAAAAGACAGCTAAGGTTAATCTCTCGTTATTTAACGAGTACTTTACGAGGAAAAACACAGGCCAAGTTATTTCCTCTTTAAGTTAACGATGGCTTTACGAGGAAAAAAACGTGGGCCTGGTTAATTCCTCATAAGCTTATGAGTAGTTTACGAGGAAATATAATTCTCTATATAAACTCGAGCCATCCAGTTCTCTCATTCGTAGCAACGTCCTCTCTATCTCCTCTTAAGGTATTCGTCTCTAGTTCCTCTCTAGATAGTTTAGGTAATTAGTTTAGGGTTAGTTTAGGATGATAGGTTTTAGTGTAGGAAATTTATCTAAGTGATTTTAGATAAGTTTATAGAATTTGTTGATGATATAGAATGATGATTTTAGTAATATACTTATGTTTTTTTCAAATGATTAATATTTTGAATTATTTTTTTTTCAGATGGTTAGAAAGAATAAGCTTAAGAATGCGGCGGCTCATTACATAGATATGTTTGGTGTGCCTGGTACTAATGTAGGCGCATCATCTTCTTCAGCTTCCGATTCTTCGATTCCGGATATTGTCCTCGAGACTCAGTCTTCTCAGAGAGTCTCGTTAGAGAGTCTCATAGTCGCCTCCTTTTGTTGTACCACATATTCCTCCACGCATGATTATGTTTCCGAGGACGTGCCTCCTCCTCCTCCTGCTATGGCCGACATTGGTGGACCCTGGAATTATATTTATGGGGTGTCAAAAATCGAATTATAAAAAAATGGTGTCAAATTGGGTTTAAACCCTGATTAAAGGGGTGTCAAAATGGGATTTTACCATAAATGACAAAGAATCCTTGTTGTTTTCACCCACAAAACAACATCTATACACATTTAGGGGGTGTCATGTGACACTCATTACCCTTAATAGATCCGCCACTGAAGGCCAAAGTTCATCCCGACTTGCTGGGTCGCCGCCGGCTCCTTATGTTAGGTGCAACATCGAGGACCTTCTCGTTCAGCCAGACAGAGAAGGTTTACCAGTCTTAGATCTCGACCGACTGGAAGGCACTTTCTGGTAAGTTTCATTTTTATAAATATTTTTTTATTTATAACAACATTATAATATTTAATACTTTTGATTTGTTTTTGTTCAATTCAGGTTTGGAGTTGACAATCGTGTCGCTCGGAATGTAACCTAGGTGATCAATGGTTATTTCCTTGATGCTCATCCAAACTGGAAAACATCGCTCAGAAAGACGTGGTTCAAAATGTTCGTTGTAAGTGGTTATTAATTTTATTTTTAATTATTAAGATTTTTTAATATTTTTGGACAAATTGTTAATCTACTATTTTTTTTTGTCTACAGCAAAAAAAGAGTTGGTCCATAGGAAGTGAACGAAAAGGTGAAGAAAGCTTTTGTCAAAAATACAAAGAGGGATTGTTGGACACGGTGTCCTACTGGAAGGGCAATTATCTTGTGGACTGTTATGAGCATGGGAAACCTGCTGAACTCACAACGGAGGTGTGGGATGGCTTCATTCATTATTGGAGCTTGCCATCGTCGATCAGAGTCTCCAACAGCTGCTTTTCTTCCCGTCTGACGAAAGATATTCTACTTACTGTAATTGATGGGCATGGAAACACGCCGATGCTTCACTCTTCGGGTCTAACACCCCACGCCAGTGTCGTCTAGGGATGGTAAATATTTCAATTAATTAAATTATTACTTATATATATTTCAATTGCCTAATTTCTTTAAAAAAATATTTTAGGTTAAAGAGACTGGAGATCTATCATCTCTTAAGGAACTTTATGAGAGGACGCACAAGAACATGGCTCGGAAATTTGTAGATCATAGGTCCGCGCAAGTTTACAATGCTTGGAAATTTGAAGATCGCCAAACCTAGCTGATCCAGCAGTCCCCCGATTGGGATACCCGTCACATTATCCACAATTGAAATGGATGAGATTTACGAGCAAGTAATTTTTTTTTATTATTATTCATTTAATATCTAACTTTGTATTATTAGCTAACATTAATTTTTAATTTTTTAAAGGTCGTCCCTAAGAAAAAAGAGACTTCAGTTGGGGATTGCTTTCGTTAAGGATGTCTCAAGAGCGGCATCGTCTTATGTTCAGCGATTGGAAAATGAGACTACTCGGCTTCGTTCGGAGTTGAACGCGACACGTTCTGATTTGAGTACGACACAAGCTCAAATGGGTTCACTCGAGGGTTTCTTGGACGTTCTAACGGCTAGAAATCCGCAATTGGAGATATGTTAGCAGTGAGACTGAGACGACTGGGTATTCCACAGCCAGACCGCCAAAACGAGGAAGATATGGACAGAAGGAACGGCAACTTCCAGAACCACCCCTAACTCTTTTTTTATTTCTTTTTCTTGTAACTTAAAATTTAAATATTTATAAAATATTTTCGTGTTCTTCTCTTATTTTAGTTTTATTTTTTAAAAATAATTTGTATTTATATTTTATTATAATTAATTATCAATCCAGAAAAATAAGTTTCAAAGTAAATTTATCGTTAATTTTACGTGGAATTAACTACAAAACTTAGCATGGACTTTACGAGGAAACAATTACGTGGGAATTACAACGAAGGTTAATGGATACTTTACGATGAATGGTTTATGCGTTTTTAATAAGGAAAACTTAGCGTGTATTTTATGTGGAATATATTGCCTACTTTTAACGAGGAAATGTAGGCGTGTGTTTACGACAAACTTTTTCCTCGTAAAGTTACGAAATTTTAGAGAAGAAATATGTGTCATGACAAATGTGTCACGATGTTTCCCGTTTTGTGGTTATTTCTTCGTGAAAGCTCATTTACGAGGAAATAACCTCGAAAATGGCTCTCGTTACGTTATTATTTTCTTGTAGTATTTCTTCATTTTTAAAAGATATCAAATATAAAACAAGTCAATACTATTGGTTGGTGAGCGTATAATTCATAATAGGGGAATAATTCAAGAATAAATTTCAAATAAAATATCAAAAAGTAAAATAAGTTAAATAATAATAAAATATTGATTTAAAACCAAGTCAATGATATACTTGTTATAATAAAGTCAATGCTTTAGTTTTCTTTTCAAAACATAGCACGTCATTGTTTCCTTAGTTATTTTGCTAAAAAAATCAATATTAATAAATAAATTAATCTGTTTTAAGTTATACACATTAGTTCACATGGGATGCATGTGTTGAGATATAAATACGAAAGTAAAGCAGATGGAATAAGTATCTGAAGGTAGAGAAAAGAAAAAGAGAGAGAGAAAAGAGAGGATCAATGGTGATTAAGAGAATAGAGCTTTGTATAGAGTTTGTGAAGATAACAATGGATTTTGTGGTTGTAGTGGCTGAAGCCGCGAGAGTCTTCTTGAGCCACGCTCCTCAGGTTCCGGGCCCCCGCCTCCGGCATGGCTCCTACTATAACTCCGCATCTTCCTCTCAGCCTTCTGTTTATATGATTCCCTATTTTCCCTGAGATTATAATTCTTTGTAATAATATGTAAATAACAAATAAATGTAAATTACTTCTTATTTTTCAACATGTAGTATCTATACTATTAAAACACAAGGCCCTTTTTTGAGGTGCCCTTGGTTTTCAATAGTAATTACAGATTTATGCCACTGTATTATTTTTAGGCTATGATTTGTATCAATAGATTTTATCCGATGAAAATGGGTTTGACCCAATTCTATTAAATTGACAAAATCTTACGGTTGTTTAGTTGTAAACAAATATACACCGAATCCCTAAGAATATGGAACGGCATCTATTTAGTTTGATTTTATATCACTTTCAACTGTGCTTGCATTAATTAAACATATTAAACATTTTAAATATTTTTTATTAAATAATGCATTAATTAATTCGTAATTAAGTAACATAATATTAGTTTAAATTATATTAATTAAATTTTATTATAACCTAAAAATAAAATAGATTGATATTTTTAATAAATTTATAATTATAGTCTATATCTTCTCTATTAAAAGAGAAGTACCATTTTTATCTACCATTAAGAAG